TAAGCAAAAAGAAAAAAGCCAGAAGTGGCGCTGTGGCTCCAGTGGTAGAGTGCTAGCCTTGAACTGAAGAGCTGAGGGACAGCGCTCAGGCCCAGAGTTCAGGCCCCACGACCGGACCCAAAAAAAAAAACCAACCGGGAGAGAGTAAAGGGTGATATTGTTCAAAAAGAAATGTACTTAGTACCTGACTTATATAACTGTAACTCCTCTGCACACCCCCTTCATAATAACAATTAAAAATATTTTTTTAAAAAGCTAAGCAGCCAGGCACCAATGGCTCACACCTGTAATCCTAGCTACTCAGGAAGCTGAGATCTGAGGATAGACATTCAAAGCCAGCCCAGGCAGCTTGTGAGACTCTTATCTCCAATTAACCACTCAGAAACAAAGTGGTCCTGTGGCTCAAAGTGATAGAGTACTAGCCTTGAGCCAAAGAGCTCAGGGACAGTACCTAGGCCCGGAGTTCAAGCCTCATGACTAACAACAACAACAAAAAAAGCCAAGCAAGAATCTGAGGCCCTGAGTTCAAACCCCAGTATCAGAAGAAGAGGAGGAGAGGAGGAGGAAGAGGAAGAGGGAGAGGAAGAGAAAAAGGAAGAAGGAAGAAGAAGAGGAGGCAGAGGAGGAAGCAGAGGAGGAGAAGGAGGGAGGAGGCAGAGGAGGAGAAGGAGGGAGAGGAGGAGGAGAAGGAGGAGGGGGAGGAAGAGGGAGAGGAGGACGAGGAGGAGGAGGAGGTGGATGGGGAGGACGAAAAACAATAATAGACAGGCAGCTCCAGAGCTGACCTCATGCAGCAATTCCTCTGGGGCCTCCTAGCTCCTAGGGGCTGAGTGTGCTGAGGGCTGAGTCACCTGGTGGGTAGGAGGTGTGGCACAAGGCTGAGCCCTCTTCCTGTGACCCAAGACAACACTCCTTCACCAATCACCTCCACTCTCCCTTCCAGAAAGATGACATAGGGCTCCAGACCTGGCTTCATAGGGGTTTGAGTGGGAGCAGAAGCCTAGGCAGGATCCTAGAGGGGTCCACACGTGGGTGTGTACCATGCTTGTTAAGTATGTACACACGTACTGTGGCCAGAGGCTTTCTCAGCAATGCTATGCAGCAGATGCCTTCCCTTTATACTTAATCTGGAAAGGTTAAGTCATTTGTCCTGGGTCACAAAACCCAGGGGGCAGGTGCCCCCTCCATAGCACGTGTGCTGCCTTCTGCCCTGGGGGCTACCCAGCTCCTAGTGGCTTCTGGACTTTTCTGTTCTGTGTGTTCTAGCTCTAGGCCTCTTCTTGGGCTTTCTAAGTCCACGTTTCTTTTTTTTTTTTCCTTTCTTTCTTTCTTTTTTTTTGTCGGTCATGGGTCTTGAACTCTGGGCTTGGGCGCTGTCCCTGAGCTCTTCAGCTCAAGGCAAGTGCTCTACCGCTTGAGCCACAACACCACTTCCAGTTTTCTGGTGATAAAATGGAGAGAAGAGTCTCACAGACAGCCAGATGTCAGTGGCTCATGCCTATAATCCTAGCTACTCAGGAGGCTGAGATCTGAGGATCCAGCCTTTGGGCAGGAAAATCTGTGAGACTCTTATCTCTAATAAACCACCAGAAAAACCAGAAGTGGTGCTGTGGCTCAAGTGGCAGAGCGCTAGCCTTGAGCTGAAGAGCTGAGGGACAGCACCCAGGCCCAGAGTTCAAGTCCCATGACCGACCAAAAAAAAAAAAAAAGTCTGTGGATGTTCTTGCATGGGCTGGTTTTGAACCACGATCCTCAGCCTTCTGGGTAGCTAGGATTACAGGTGTGAGCCACCAGCGCCCAGCTTAAGTCCACCTTTCTTGTCCTGTGTTGTTTCACTGAGTCTGTACTTCTGCCTGTGTCTGCTTCTGTCCACCCGCTCCAGTATTTACGTCTTGTCTGTATCTTTTCTCTCCTCCTCTGCCTTCTCCTTCCCTTCCTGCTGCTTCTCACAGCTTAGTTGCCAGGGGTTATCACTCTGCCTGGAACTAGGATGCATCTAAGGAAGAGTCTAAGAGTGCTCCTTCTCCTGTGGCTCCTCAGAGGACCAGCTTGAGGGGGGGGGTGCTGGAGGGCACATGGCGGCCACTGTATCTCTCTTTACTTCTCCCTGCTGGTGGATGGGCTGTCTGGAAAGGGAATGTCCTCCTCTGGGAAAGTCTGATAGGGAATGTTGGGTTAGAATGGGGTAGAGGAGCAATGCCAGCCCTCCTTCTTTATCGCCCATTGGAGAGAGAGGAGCAGGCTGCCCAGCCCCCATTCTGCCAAGAGGGCAGCCCCTATGGCGGGAAATATGGCAGTCTTTTTGGAAGGTCTCAACAGTGGGAGAGCAAAGTAGGGGAAAGACACCAGAGGGCCTGGAGGGCCTCCAAACCCTGGCTCACACGCACACAGCCATCATACACCCCATACAGTGGGGTGGGATTCAGGAAACAGCGGCCCCGCCCCCCCAGGCCCAACTTAGGCCAGAGTTGAAAGTTGACCCCCTGTCCAATCCTGCCTGGAGCTCAGGCCTGGCTGAGCCTGGGAACCTCAGACCAGCACAAGCTGTTCCTGTCCCCAGGGACAGGGGGCCTTGACCCGGAGAGGCCACTCCTAAAAGGCCAGATCAGGGGGAGCCCGTGACTGGAGGCTGGAAATGGGGGGAGGTAAGACATAGCTTTGCTGAGACGTGGGCTCCTGAGCCCACACCACTCATTCGACTCATCCACTACCTGCCTGGCTGCCAGCACTGTCCCCTGTCCCCCTCTCACAGACCTTTCTGAGGCTGCATATGTCTGGGACAAGGCTTACTCCCCTGCCCTGTGCCTGTTCCCCGTTCGTCCTGGTGGGGACAGAAGCAACATGGGGGACAAGCATGTTCCAGAAGCAGACATGTTTCTGTTCATCAAAGCCTCACAACCACCCTATGAGGTAAGCACTGCACTATTATCTCCCTTTGGAAAGGAGAAACTGAGGCACAGAGGTTCAGTCTCTTGACTAAGGCTGGCCTTGGGTCCAGTGTCCTCTCAGCCTGCACTTTGCTTGATGGAAGGAGAAGACCTGGTACTCCCTGGGTGTCCTGAGTCCTGCCAGCCAGATGGGGGCCACCACCCCTGGATTCCCAAGTCTCCTCGCCAGCAGCCTCACACCCTGTGTCATGGGGTAGACCCTTTGGCCTCTCTCCGCCTTGCCCCCTCCCTTCTCCATGTCTGTCCCTCCTCCCCTCTATCTCCCAGGGGTCTTAGGGCTCTAGACCCACCTTCAGGTCCAGCACCCCTTCCCAGGGAGCAGGTTGGTTCCAAGGCCCAGTGCCAGGCCTCCCTGGCGGGTCACTCACCTGCTTCGAGGCCTAGTCTCTCCACCTGCCTGGTGGGGAACGCGGGTCGGATGGGAGGAGGACCGGCCAGGGTCCGGCCAGCAGCCCCAGCCGACTGCGACTGCCGCAGGGGCGGGAGCGCAGCCGAGTCCCGGGCTGGGGAGGGGCGCAGAGAGGCGGGGGGGGGGGCAGGAAGGGGGTGGGGACTCGGCCCTCGCCAGGCAGGAAGTTTTGACAAGGAAACCGGGAGCCAGGGGAGGGGAGTCCAGAGCAGCCCAGGAGGGAAAACTGTTAGGGGTTGGATCAGGGAGGGGACCAGGAGGGAGGGAAGAGGAGAGCAGGTCGCCAGCCCCCTTTTCCCCCGCCCACTAGCTGTACGGCCTGGGATTGCTTAACTCTGGTGCCTCAGTTTCCTTATCTGCAAAGTCAGTGCTGCTGGACACTGACCTTATCAAAGACCCAACCCGGGGACCTCCCACCGCGTCGCAGTTTTGGAAGCGGCACCTCCTCTCCTCCTGACGCCCCAAATCGCTTGGCCGCTGGGTGGGACCCTGCCCGCCTCTGCCCGCCCCCTCGGTCCTGGGCCCTGGCCCTGAAGTACACCGGCTCTGAAGTCCGGCGGGGGCCACCTAGTGGCCAGTGGCTACGCCGCCTACCGCCAGCCCGCAGCCTTTCTGAGTCTGTCTGATAACCGCTATTTCCTTTCCTCCTGGTTAGCCCTTCCAGTGGGCTCCACCAGACCCTAACTCGAGATTGGTCCTGTGGTCAGGCCCCTTTACATCGGATAAGATGGATGTGAGTGCAGTTTACTAATAACCCTCCTACTGGTAAGTGCTGGAGGCAAGATTTGAACCCAGGTCTGTGGTCTAATTAGACAGGCTTCATGCTCCAAATCAACACCATAGAAAAACGTACCCTGGTTCAAAGAGCAAAGGTGGAACACCCCTCTTAGGTGACTTTTAAAAGTCAACTTGGACAGCAGTGGTACTCACTGGGTGCTATGTTGAAAATAAACTATACAACTTGTGGGTGGGGATGGGAAGGGAAAACTGGGAAAGAGGGAGGGAAGGGCTGACATTGCCCAAAAAGAAATGTACTCTTAGGCCGGGCACTGGTGGCTCACGCCTGTAATCCTAGCTACTCAGGAGGCTGAGATCTGAGGATCGCGGTTCAAAGCCAGCCCGGGCAAGAGAGACTG